TTTGTACTCAGTGGCAAATTTTTATTCTTTAAAACTTTTATTATATGGGTTTTTCCTCTTAGGGAACGCATTTCCAAACTAGAGGGCCATTTATAGTAATTTGTCTCAGTTTTTGACAAACTCGCTCAAAATCAGCGTGGGTTGACCATTGTTTTCTACCTTAACATTTAAAAAAATTATTAAGCTTAGGTACTCTTTCTAAACATAATTTAACGTTCTTAGATTTTTTTAAAGAGTACGTTTGGCTTCGATGAATCGTTTAGAAGTTATAGGGTATATTAAACAACAAAATCTGGATTTTTTGGCTGTAAAAAGTTTTACCCAGGCAGCTAGTATTAGCAATTTTGGTTTTTACATGTTTAAATTCATATACACAAGTTAAAAAAATTAATACTTTTCCCACATTTTTCGAAAAGAATTTACCGTTTCGATTTCGAAGTTAACGGCCTAATATTCTTTAAATCAATCGCCATTTTTTAAAGTAACGGCCCTGGAATGGCAGACCAACTTCATTTTACATAGAATAACATAGACTTTCAATATATTACATTCAAATCGTCCCTTACGATCAGGTTGATTTTTGGGCCTTGGCTCCAGGACTATTACCTAGAATCTGTAGGAAAGTGATACATGTGAAGAAAAGAGATTAAGCTGTATCCTTTTGCTAATAATGGTTCGATTTCGATATATATTTTTATTTGTTTTGTAAAGAATTAAATTATCTATCAAAAGATTATACAATGGAATGTATAGTTTGTGAGTTAGGCCCAAAAGCATTAATAAGTAATAAACGTTAAAAAGTAATTAATAAACGTTCCGTTATTTAGCTTTGGATCCTTTACAATTATCAAGACACTAATAACAAGTGTTAAAAAATATCATTTTTCTATTGGAATAACTGGAAAACTATACTTCTTAGGGAACATTCCGGATGCTCAATAGAATGATAATTAAGATTACAAAGATAAATTTAAAAAATCTTAGCCGATCTGAATGTAAGAGTCAAAATAAAGTAAACTTTTTTAAAGATTTTATTTAGAACTTGTGTGAGCTACATAAGACATTGATGAAAGTCTGAGAACTAAGAGATATAACTGACTCGAAATAAATACGGACAAGAAAAATAAATGGTTAGCTGCAAAACGCCGAATTGCGTGAACTGTTTTTTTTATTCTTCCCTTTATGGTATTTTTAGGCTATACGGGGGTTTTCTCGGGTCAGGGGATGTGGGCGGGGATTAATGCTAAGGGTTAAAAGGCACCCGGGGAATTGCGTGTACTGTATCCGGTTAATAAAATTGGTGTGATTATATTGTGGCGAATAAAATGGGCGTGTAAATAACTTTGACATTGTAACGTCAGGTTCCCCTAAAAGTTTAAATATGCGCTATGTCGAATGTTAAACCTCCTTGGAGGCGAAGGAGGTGTGTAGACAGGGATTGCTGGTATCAAACGGCATTAAACCTTCGGGTTCAATAAGCCTTACGTCATTATTATTCCAGAATTCCTCTTTAGACTCTGTTCATGAAATAATATTATTGTTATTATCGCTGTGTCCCGGAGATAAAAGACACCAGGTCAATTTTTTATTAAATAATTTAATAACTAAGTAACAAAATATACAAGCTCAAAGGCATGGAAAATTGTTTCCCTGAACAAATACTAAATATGAAATAGGATTCTTTACCTCATGGGCACAGATTTATATTAAGACTTGGCCGAAACTTTAAAGGCAGTTGTGTGAGTGAACTGAGTGAACCCTCTCCCCCTCCCTCTAAATAAAAAAAGTGTATTGTTGTGCATTATTGTTTTGTAAAGGAATGAAGGTATTGTTTTATGAAGTAATCATATGTTCCTAGTCAGTCAAATCTAACTAGGATCAAGACATTATAATTATTGCTTAGTAAGTTACTTCAAATTCATTCCCAACCAATATATTAGGTAGCTGAATAGGGTCCCGAATCTACTGAGTCATATATCTGAAGCTTTATTATGCTCACAAGCTGAGTATAATACCCTACTATAAGGACCCACCACCTGGTGGCCCCCTCTCCTATAATAACTCACCTTACAAGTGCCTATATACAGACATAATTGAAGGAAATAAACGTTTAATATGTCGTAAAAAGTCAACAATACATGAGTCGCATAATGACGACAGTATATAAGCTATATGGAGCGCATAAGGCAGGGTAATAATATTGTGAGGATTAATCATTAAATTCTTTAGAGAAAAATCTGGTGCACCCTCTTCTTAGCAGAAATAATTATTTTTAGACAAATAGAAAGTGAAAGTAAAAAGTATGGACGCTATATTTATTTATATTTCACTTTGGACATTTTTATTTGTTTAATGACTCTTATTAATACTAATTTTAATTTAATATTTAAATAATTAAATATTAGTTATTTATTTATTTATTTGCATGTTCCAACCACTGGGGTCATTTACACTGAAGTCTCTTGAAGTTTTTTTTTTAAATTTTATCATAAATGTCAATAGTTTTTAAGAATTTAATAAGTCGTGAAGTCAGGTAGGAGTCTCAAAATTTGTTCTGGGTCTGTGGAGAATCTGCAGGAGTCGTGAGCCATAAATATTAATTAATGCCAATTAATTAAATATTAAATAATATCAACGATAACATTTATGAAAACCGCTTAAGTATATGTACATAAAAATTGTACGAGTCCGTATTACATTAAGCTCTTGTTACGTATGGAAGCCTGATCTAATGATTTGGGCGAGCTTGTTTCCGTTGATTCCTCCATTAAAACTATTATCCATTACGATTTCTCCTAAGTTAATTATCAAATTCTTTCATATTTTATATTTAATTATTATAAAAGATTAATGTGAAGTGGTTAATTATTTCAAATAAAAAAACAGAAATAATCCGTTATTTTGCAAATGGAGTTAGATTTTCGCTGCTAACCTAGATACCTATTTCAGAAGCCATTTGTTGGTCAAATCTACATTAAATTATGTATAAGAAATGAATGGAAGAGCAAATAGTTTAAAATTGGCTGTATAAGTAAATTTCTTTTACTTTTAAACGATAGTTTAGAAAAGTTGTTTTCTATCACGTAGCTATGGAATAGCTTGGCCAGTTAACAAAGTAAGTCCTCAGTTCTTACGCTCTATTCTTGTACAGTTTCTCTTCCATAATTTGTCAATCCGTAACTGACCATGATACAGTTCTAGTAGTTTTAACCACTTCAATTAGCGGACTGAAAACAAAACTATCATGAATAATTAAAATCAGCAAAACGTTATTAAAAATCGTAAACACCGATCACGTAAGGTTGTTTGTTGTCATAAAACAGTTCAATGTCAACAAATTAATGTAACTATTTCCGATAGCTAAGGCATTGGAACCTCATGGTATTGGATAGAGGATACCACACATAATAGACATACTATCATTAAACAAACACAATGTCGCGACAGCTGTCCAATTAGCCAAGACGTCGAATGAATAATGAGAAGTCAATAGAAGTTAGGCAAGTGAGTAATGAACAAATACATTTAATCCAAAACACGCAGTTGAATATTCAATTCAATAAATACTCAATATTATCATACTGTTATTAAACTTGTTTAAGGTTTACACGGTTGATAATTTCTTGTTGTGAGCCGTCCATATTTATCAATAATGTAAACAAGAGTGTATAATCCCGCATAAATATTTAACAAAGCGATTAAAGCGGCCCTTGATGTATAAACACTTACAGAAATGGGAGATGCTGATCCATGATAATTATTAGACTTGCCATGTACGCATGTTCTCATGCCGATTCGCCTGACCCAAATGTAAGTTCGATAGGCCAAAGCATTTCAGTAGTCAGGAACTCAAAATATTAATTTTGAGTTTATCGTAATATATATATTTTATTTATCGTCATCATTACCAACTACTACTCTTGTTATTACTTCCACTTTGTAAGACCGAAAATGTTCCTCCACATCCTGCAACCAACCCAGTCTAAGCATACCTCTCTTTTATTCTTCTTCTGGATGTTCGTCCATCATCAGTTTATAAACTCTACTACATTTCATTCTTTTAAACGTTAGCTATCTTATTCAGCGCCAATAGATACAATATTGCTGCCTCCAGTTTCTCAGCTGGTTGTTGGGCAATGATTCTCTTCTTTCGTAGGACCGTCGATTCATCGATCGATTTTTCAGCTTGTGATATAGTGTCAGTTTCGAAGACTAGCTAACATACAAAATAGTCCGTGATACAGACCACTTTTTATCAAATTATTAACATCCGCCTGAAACTTCGGAAATAGCTTCATTTGATCGTAACCTACAAATATTTTTTATACGAAAATTCTTGGAATTCGGGAGTTTTCTAACTGGAGGCGGGCAAACTTTGTCTATTTAATTAGGTACTAAAAATATCTAAATGCCCATTTGCTTTCCACCTGAATCGTAAGATAATTTGAGCACAAAATATAGAAAAAAAGTGACTTTCAAAAATATTCAGCCTACACTCCTACATTGTCAAATAACGAGGTTATATAGGACAAGCGGACCAATATTTTTGTGTGCCACCTTTTTTCGTGGACAAAATAGGTCTTTACTAAATTTTTTGATCACTAATAATCTCGATCTTACGGATTTATAACCGCTCTTTATGCAAGACAATCCAACATTGCTTAAGAAACACTTGTATGCCTAACGTAGGGATACGGTTACTGGGGCATGTACCTCTTGCCTTGGGGAAAGCACTCAAGCCTCGAAACACATGACAAAAGGCCTTCTGGAGGTCGTATGTATAAGCTAGGGGAATTCAACAACTGTAAAAAAGTATGTTCTACGTAGTTTACTATCAGTTTGCAACAGCATTGTATCCATTATAACTCTTTCTTTTCCAATAATGAGTATTATTAAATTCGTTAGTGATTAAAAATGTATTTTTTGTTCAATTAAAAACTTTTTTAAAACGATCATAAATTCGTAGTTAAATCGTCTCAGAACATGTGTTCGTTTAAAAATAGATCTTTAAAAATAAATCAAACATGGCAATATTTGACCGTTGTATATGATAATGTCGATGACACCCTTCGATCCTGACTCATTGGATGAATCACTCCTCTTGTTCCTTCTTCAAAACGATAACAATAATGACCTGAACTCGGGAGCGGAGGTGACCTTACCACAAACGAACGAAGACTTTATGGTTCGCATCGATGTCCAACACTTCCGACCAGAAGAACTCAAAGTGCGGCTGTTAGACGGCTACCTAGTGATCGAGGGGCGGCACGACGAGAAGGTGGACGAGCACGGGACCATCTCCAGGCAGTTCGTACGCAAGTACAAGTTACCAGAACATGTCGACCCAAAAGAATTCAGCTCCACTGTATCTTCCGACGGCGTTCTGACGGTCGTATCGAAGACGAAGAGCAATATCAGCGGACAGTTAGAACGGAAGGATTCGGCGTTCTTAACGGAAGGACAAGATTCAATAGAAGACGCTAGTCAGGTCTTCAATTAGAGACAGGTTGCCTGGTAATTAATAAATTTATATTGAGTAACTTGAATGTCGTCCGTTCGTAAAGGAAACAAAACGTACCGGCTCAACAAAACCTGTTGATGTTAGTACAGTGTTACAATATAGCACTCTGGACGACGCCACAATCATTAACTTCTCAATTTATGTCGATTCCAAATATTATCGAATAAATGACTTTAGAAAAATTGTAATTACTTATCCACCGATTATAATATAAGTATGATATTGTAGATATCATTTATTGAAATAGTATCTATAATTAAAAGTAACTGAACAGCTGTGACTTGTATACATTTGTAATAATGTCCCATTTTTTTATGATTATTGAAAACTAACTGATTTTTATTTTATTTTTATTAACATGTTTTATTTCACTTATAGATTTGTGACATTTTTCAAGGAAAGAAACAAGTAGTAATCGGATGGGGCAAGGTTTGGGGAGTACAGAGGATGAGGTAGAAAGTCCCACTCCAACTGTATGAGTATCTGTCTTTTGATTTGAGATGTACTGTCTTCGATCTGTGTTTAAATGATGATATAACGAAGTAATCATCCAATTACTTTATCAGGTCAAATAACGATTTGATCTGATGAGGTAATTGATGATTGTAATTTAATAAAATATCAATTTGAAGAAGTTGAGGCTATGTATTTTCCAATCTTCTAAATATATTTTAAAGTAATTCATACAGTTTTATATATACAGTAATTTCAGATTTTATTCTCTTTAATGCGTTTAATATATCCTTTACAAACGTCTACCAAGTTATATGTAATTTTATGGCTTAATTCTCACAATTCGCTGAATTTATGTCTTGATTTTCTAAATATTTTTATTGTAAAAAAATAAATAAATGAATCTTCGTTTCGTCTAATTGTAAAGAGCTGGAAACGTACTTGAAAGTTACAGAAAACCTTTAAATATTGCGGTTTAATGGTACTGTAGTTAGGGGATTTCTCTGCTTTTTGTCAACAAGATTTAGGAACCTGTCGGGCTTCTCCAAGTTCTTAGTTCACTTTTACAAGGATTTCAAGGGAATTTCTGAATACCAGGAATTTTTCGATGGTAGGAACCTCTCAAGGCTACTGATACACGTATAAAAAAGTTCTGTCGAATGATTATAGTTTTCCCTCGGTGATATCTCAAGTTCCAGGTCAATTTTATTTATCCTTGCATTGCAGGTTTACAATGAAGTACAAACTTTATTTAGTATTAGAACTGATATATTTCTAGCAAAGGGGCTTTTATATCACAATAATATATCAGATATGAGCAAATGATACTCCGAGTACCGATCACCAAGTATTTTACTCAAATTGAAACACTATTGGGAATTCAATCACTACTGCGGTTAATCTTTTGGCATCATCTTAAGTAGCAATTAAATTCTTTAGTACAAAAAAAAGGTCAGTATTTGAGTAATACACCCAATACTACATAAGCTGAGTAGCATTTGACCATCTCTATAAAAAAACATTTTTTGAAGATGTATGTATATATATATATATATATATATATATATATATCCAGTATTATATTTTTTAATTGCTTTGTGTTACGGTAAAACTTTTTTTCTTTTTATCCTTTTGGATAATCTTTCCAACTTTAGACTGCTATTTAAAAGTTGCCACTAGAGCGGAAACGCCAAGATTCATTTCTCGAGATGCAGAAAAATAAATATCAAATGACCGGGTGGGAATCGAACCCACTATGTTTAGTACCGTGCACTCTAGCACCCACGCCTCAACGTGCTCGGACATCATGTCCTGTACATGTTGGTTAACCAGGCGAAACGAAATTTAACAAATATAAAATTAATAAATAAAAAATTCAATTTTTAATGAAATCATGAGTTATCCTTCTTTTCGGTACTCCGAATCGCTACTAAACAAAAAGGAGAAAACTTATGGAATAACCTAATATTGTAACAAATACATAATATATAAAATATATATTATAACAAATTGCTTTTAATGGATGAGAAACTTTTTCTTAATAAATAGTTTATAGAATACGATATATATATATATATATATATGTGTGTATATACATATATTATTACAATATTTTTTTATAATTCGACCTTAATATAGAAGATATGAATTATAATCGGATAATAGATCATGAAATTATTTTTTAATTTTTATAATACGAAATTTTATGACCTATTATCCGACTATAATTCATATCTTAAGTTATATATATATATATATATATATATATATATATATATATATATATATATATATATAAATTAGTTTTTTTCTTTATCCTTTAGCCTCTTAATCTCAAAATAACTAATCATGACGGATCGGATGCTGAGTTTATTTAAATCATTTAATTTGAATTATTAACATTTCGTCATGCCGTTATCTCATATTTTATAAGTCAATCTACTATTACTTCATTTGTTATTATTCTTTTATTTTATGATCTGTTGATGTGTCCAGGTCATATCAATTAAAAAAAAAATCGTGACATCAAATAGTTTTAATTGGTCATAAATGTGCGAAAAAACAACATAAAAATCTAAAAAAATCTTTTAATGGAATAGAACTCAATCGAAAAGATATAATTTATAAATCAAGACATTTTAAAAAATCAGTTCAAATATTTTAAAAAGACTTTTCTCCATTTTTCATACTCGTATTTTTGAAAAAAAAAAATCTTACCTAAAATGTCTAAAATTTCATAATTGTCCAATCTAATAATCTTAATAGCACACTTCATTATTAATAGTCCACGGTACTCCTTTTTATCAAATTGTTAACATCCGTCCGAAACTTCGTAAGTACTTTATTTCATCATAATCTACAAATATTCACACAAATTCTCATAATGAGGAGTTTTCAATCTGGAAGTCGAAAAACTTTGTCTATTTAATTAGATACTAAAAACTCGTAAATAAGTATTTGCCTTCCACATCGATCCTAAGATAACTTGAGCACTAAGTCGAGAAAAAAAAAGATGGCCTTAAAATATATTGAGTCGTTTGGCGTGACCTACATCCCCAAATTGTCAAAATAACAAGATTATAAAGGCCAAACGGTCCAATATTTTTATAGGCCACCTTTCTTTATCGACTTTGTGATCAAATTATCTTAAGATCCAAGTGGAGTTTTTATTACCTAACTAAGTATACAAACTTGCTGACCTACATATTGAAAACGCCAGAGAATTTTCGTAAATCAAATAGGTTACGATTAGATGAAGCTATTCAAGTTTCAAGCGGATATTAATAAATTGATAAAAAGGGGATTGAACCACGGACTATAAATAAATATTGACCCTCAATCATTACTCATGTTGTTCCTCTCAGTTTCGATTAATAGTTATCTCCATAATTACAGTTACTTATAATTACACGTTTCATGCCATTCTTTACACAAAAACACACTATGGATATATTGACTTCTGCCATGACAGACTGCCTTGTTGGACAGCCCACTGTGCGATGATTCTCTGACTTTTCAAGCTTTCTTCAAGCACCCCCCGCCAAGCTGAGACAGCTCACTGCCCACTTCCCATTAAAGATTCCTGACACAGCACATCGTACCGTTATTCTCAGCTCCTTAGCCGATATTGCCCTCCGCTCCACCACACTGTTATCCTGCTACCTGATATGGTAGTGTATGCTACTCTATATATAGTGCTCGATGGCTCTTCTCTTTTATAGCGACCGGCTGCAATCTCCTTGTTAAGCTTTCTTGTTGCTAATCTGCTCGAGAGCTTTTATAGTCGCTAAGGTAAACACTAAGTGAAATTTGCTACCAGCCACCGGTGGATATGCGAGGGGCTTTCAGGCTGACGCCTTCCCTCCCAAATGGGAAATTAATTCTTTTTTATTGGTCCATAATTGTCCATGTAAGTGATACAAGCTGAATACCCTTTATTTAAAAAAAAAAAAAAAGAAGTTAAATATTCAATGTTCACAATATATTTTCATTATCCCCAAAACATCTACAATAGTATAGTACTGAGCATTATGACATATGGGTCAGAAAATTGGACAATAAAAAGCAACCTCAGGAAAAAATTTCTAGCCATCGAAATGGACTACTGGAAACGAGCGGCGAGAATATCCAGAATGGATAAAGTCAGGAATACGAACATCAGAGAAAAGATGGAGGCTAAAAGCCTGCTAAAAAATCCATTCTGGAAGAGATTGAGATAAAACGCCTGAACTGGTATGGCCATTTGAAAAGAACGCCTGGGGAAGAGTACCCAAAGAAGTCCACTTATGGAAAACTAGGGAAAGAAGAAGACGAGGAAGACCAAGGAAGACCTGGGATAACGAAGTGGAGGAATCCATGATGGATCATGGTCTACGGGAAGAATGGACCTTAGATAGGATATTATGGAAAGAATCCATCCAAGGTTTAGGTTAAGGAAACCCACTATTAGTAGAAATTCCTACGATATATAAAAAAAAATATATATATTTTCCTTCTAATATAACAATGGATGTAAAGCTACGAAGTGTAAGCTCGAGTCAAGTATAAGAAATGCATCTCTACCAACATTATTGTTCCTGAAAAGCATGATATTTTTTCTTTTTTTTTTCAGATCTTTAAGAACCAATATTATTCTTTATTTTGTATGTTTTCTTCCTATGTTTCTTGGTGTAATTACAATCATTAAAAAAAAAAATTTAAGCCCCACTCAAAAATTAAACCTAAAATTAAATCCGCGAGCTTTGAAAAAGCAATATGTACAGTATAATGAATTCTTCAATATATTTATAAGAGAGAAAACTAATAAGCTACAATTTGACTAAATAAAAAAAAAATCCACATAACTTTCGCTTACCGCTCAACTTTGAATATAAATTATTTTCTGGCCATATTGGGCTATTATAAGATTTTTGAAAAGCATTTTTAACTGAGCTAAAGCTAAAACATAAACAAATAATAAAGTCCATTAAAATATCAAAAGTCCTATTTATTGTATCACCGGTTGATTATGGATTGTACGACTATTAGTTATTAAACTGTTATTTTCCATTGCAAAGTTTACTAAAACGGAATTAAGAGATTTGTATTGTCTGTCATAGAAAAGTCAAAAGGTGAGACATCAATTGTAAGTGGATACTGTTGGAATATCACAAAAGGAAATTTCATCAAACTATTCACTAATTTAATTTTCTAAAAGATTATAATATGATTTTTCGGAATAAACGGACGATGGATACCTAAATATTTAAATATAATATCAGATCTAGAGTTATTAAACTACAGTAAATATATTTAAGGTTATAAACCTATTGGTGAAATATTTTTATATTTCACTTCTCCTTTCACACAAGCACAATGAAATAGTAGGGGGTACTGTTGGAATATCACAAAGGGAAGATTCATCAAATTATTCACTAACTTAATTTTTTAAAAAGATCTTCCAATTCTTCTATATATTCTTTCTCCTTGCAGCATTTTGGAGTAGGAGCTGCATTATTATTCCTATGTGCAACATGCGCTGCCCATC